GTGGGCGGCAAGGCGGAGCTTGTCGGGAATTGCGCTGCCGGGCCGGGGTTTCCTCTGGAGACCGGCCACGTGGATCGCCAGGACCTTGGGACCGATGAGGCGCTTGTACAGCAGGGACAGCCAGTAGTCCTGGGGGGCAGAGGGGACAGTCAGCAGCACAACGGTCCCCCCTGACTCACAGCGGGAGCGGGCAGGAGAGACTGGCTTCCCTGCTTACAGCCCAGCAAAATTTTGGCTGTTGGGTGAAAATGTTGTGTGCCAGATGTCTGCCTTGGGGTGAGCTTTTTTAGTGCAGTCCAAGCCAAAATGGCATCGCTGTTTCCAGGAAAGAGATTAAGGGAAGAATACATTGCTCTACCCGCGCTGAGAGACATCGATACCCTCTAAAGGAGCTTGGCTTTTGGCTGGGCTGCGGAGCGTGGGGAGCAGCATGGATGCGCTCGCAGGTTCCCATGGACCCGCACATAGCCACTCCGCGGACCTGTGCACCAGCTCCAGCTGAGGCATGCAGGATGGTGATGTCTCTGGAGCAGGCAGGTCACCCTCCACCCCTCTCTGTATACGGGGCTGGAGCACACCAGAGCTCTCCTGTGCTCTCCAGCCCCGTTCATGGCATGCTGGCTTTGGTGACTGCTGAGGGTGCTCCATTTCCCAGAGGTATTCCTCCCATTTTAAAGCCTCCCGCGGAATTAAGCACCCATGAACATAGCGCAGGGAAGCTGAGCACTCAAGAAGTAGGAAATGTTCAGCCCCTGCACACATGCGTTAATGATGCAGCCTTTAATTACGTCACCACATACTACTTTTTCCCGCAGGGCATGGCCTCGCTCGGCACACAGGATGGGCCCCAAGCCCCGGGGAGGAAGGCGAGGCTGTGCGGTGACGGAGGCCGCTGCCGGCAGGGCCCCCCCCTCATCCGCTGCAGAAGCTGGGAGGTGTGCGGTAAATGAAGCAGGGTTGTGGGAAGGGAAAGGGCAGTCTCAGGCGCTCGACTGCTGTTCTGCAGGATGGGACTCTGGCCCTGCCGCTGCTCCGGGCACCCTGGGTGATGCTGGGGAGATGGAGCCTCTCACGCTGCTTCTCTGGGTGCTGCCTGTGGGTGCGCTGGGCACCGCCTGCGTGCTGGGGCACCTTCACACACACGAGCGCTCTGGATAAACACCCTCTGCGCAACCCAGACTGGCTGCCCCAGAGGGACCATGCGCCCCAGGGCAATTGGGATGGACCCCCCAACCCTTCGGCAACATCAGACACCCAGCAGCGATGGTCACGCTGGCACTAGGGACTGCTCTGCCTGGCAGCATGACCCACACAGTGAGGAGGACCCACTGCTGATGTGGAAAGGAGCACGGATCAAGCACCCCGTGGCTCTGCACACTGCCTGGGGAGGCATGAGGAAAGCCCTGCGTGGTCAGGATAGTGCCAGGAAGGGGTCTGCCACCCCATCTTGGCATGGAAGGGGGGAATGGGCTCTCCAGGGCCCCAGGCTACAGGGCGGGATGGACAGGCGGAAGCTCAGATCCTTCACACAGGTACAGGTATCCATCCTGTGGGTGGGAAGTGCTCACACAGCCCCTGATTAACATGCATTTTGGATGAAGAGGCCAGCAGATGAAACACAGAGCAATGCTGCAGCAGCAACCGGCATGAGGCGAATGCCCACCGGCCAGACCGGACTGCCGGTCCCCATCCTCTCTCCAGCCCAGCTCAGCAGAAGCTGACCAGTTCCAGCAGCGCTGGACTGGCCTGGCAAAGGGAGATCCAAACCCACTTCCCACTTTCTGGGTAAGCTTTTGCCACAGTGCTGGAGGAAAAGCCACCTCCTGCTCTCCTCTTGCTGCTCCCAGCCAAAACCACGGGGCTTTGTGGCACACCAGCCTGGTAACTGCTTCCTCTGCAAACTCCAGGCCCCGGAGGAAACGCAAGGGTGAAGGGAGAGGCTTGTGCACTCCGAGGAGGTTCAGTCCATGAGGCCAAAGCTCCCAGGGAGGATGAACTGCAGTTGCTCAATGCCTCAGACGTGTGCCATCCCTGTGGCGCGTGCCACAGTCCCTGTCCCTGCTGGCCGGTGGTGCTGCCCCACACCCTGGGGATGTCCCTGCCAGCACCGTGCTGCAGGGGCTGTGCCAGCCTTCCCCCACTGCGGGAAGCTGTGCCAGCCCACCCCGCTCAGGCTCACAGCAGGGGGGAGAAGCAGCGCCTGGCACACTGCCGGCTCCCCGGTGAGCCACGCCGATTAGCAGGCATCATTAGATGAGTAATTACTTGAGTTTATGGCGAGGCCAAAGGTGAGCACAGATTGCAGTGTTTAGCCCCACAGTCGTGAGTTAAAAATAAATTAGTTCAGTGCTCCGAGCTACCTGTCAGCTCAGGCTCTTAGGTCTTTCTAGCAGAAATAAAGCAGAAACCCCTTGGGGTTTCTCACCTCCTCTCCATATTTCCACTGATGAGATGCTGCTTTCGCCCACAAGTTATGGGAGCAATAGAGGCCAGAGGCTTCATGGCCGCCCTTGAAATTTCCATATGGGTCTCAAGAGCTGTTTTGCAGGAGGCTCGTGATGGCCTTGTCGTGATGGGGAGCTGGCACCAGCAGCTCCAGCCTCTGGCTGAGCACCCGTCCCTCTGGGCAGGGTGATCCCTGGGGGTTTGCTGCTTTGACACCAGCGTCCCTCTGCTCTCAAGGCTCAGCAGCAGCAAGGTTTGCAATGTGGGGGTGCAGGGAGCTGCCCAGCCCCCCGACCTGCCCCGGTTACTGCCACATCTCTCATCTCAGCATGCACTCTTCCCAAGGGTGCTCTGACAAACCCTGCTCCCCTGCAGAGCTTGGGGAGCTGAGCCCCGGGCTCCTGTTGAGGTGGCTTGCAGGCAGAGCTGTGCCATTCAGTGGCAGTGAGGGTGCAGCGTCTCCTGGGCTGGGCACAAGGAGAGATGCTTGCCTCTCTGGGAAGCATTGGCCACGTTTTGTGATCTTCTGATCCAGCTAAGGGTAAACAGTTTTTCTGAGAAGAACTGTGCAGATGCCACGAGATGGGTAAGGCAGTCAGCAGTGATGCAGGGTGAGCTGTTCTGCAAAGCATGAGATGACCATGGCTGAGCATAAAGTATTTCTGTGCGGGCAATGCCCCCAGGGCAACATGGGGACTGACCTGTCCCTCCAGCATCTGCAGGAGGTGAGGGGAGAGTAGTGATTTCACCTTGCCTTGCTGGCAAGGCTAGTTCCAAAACCTCCATTTTGAGAAGGATGTGGAAATACCAAAGAGAGTTCAAAGGAGGGCCAGAAAAACGACCCAGGACTGGAAAAGGAGTCGTCAGCCCAGCCTCGAGGCACTCGAGCTCTTCAGCTTACTGCAGGGAAGCACTGAAGACAGCTGCAGCTTTTCGCGTCATCGCAAGCCCGCTTGCGGCGGGGGCCAAAATCATGTTACATGCAATAAATTACCAGGAGCTGGTGACACCGAGCATTTGGATGATGAATTACACACACACCTAGCATGACAGGATCAAACCCGCCGGGTGCGGGCACTTCCCCCAGCTGGGCTGGTGCTCTGGCACTGCTCCTACCACTGGCGTGAGTGAACCCCAGTTAAAATCACACTGGGGCTGCTGGGCACCTGCAGCTACTGACTCCTGTTCAAACAGTGACCGGCTTGGGAAGCAGTTGCTCTTGAAACCCAGCTTGGCTGCAACTGGGGTGGCTTTTCCACCGATCAGTGACCTCTCCCCAGACTCCTGGCAGTGGCTGGCACGCCCTCCCATATGGCAAACCCTGTGCAAGCATGGCCCCCAGGCTGGCAGTGTCCATATGCCCCTTGCAAAGACAAGCGCTCGCCTTGCAGCCCGGTGCCGGGCATCCTGTCGGAGGCAGCCCCGGTGATCCCCGGGGAGATGCACGGCTCTGACCAGCGCAACTGCAGAAAGTATTTGGCTTTTGGAGTCATGGAGGGCTCCCATTGTGAGGGCTGAGCCAGCAATACAGCTGTAGCGGTAGAGGAGGAATAACAGACGGGAATCTGGTCCGCTATTAGTCCCCTGGGAATTGAGGGAGTTTTCTTGCTTTAATTACTTTGCAGACCCATTAAGCAGTGCTGCCACTGCAGCCCTTGGAGCTGCAGGCAAGGAGCACCTGAAGGCAGAGCTGTCCTGTGCCTCAGGAGGTCTCCTGGCTGGGACCCCTGATTTATGGGCAGGAAGGGTGCTTGTCTCAAGTGAGCTGATGTGCAGAGTTCAGGTCAGCCACGTCTGAGCACTATGGGGCCAGTGAAGACCCACGAGCTTTCCACTAGATGGGGAAAGCCCAGAGAGTCCCACTTGATCTCTTTGCACATTTTAATTCATTGTAGGAGCTTTTAGAGACTTCAGCTTTTGGAAACAAGGCTGATTAGGCAGACCTTCAGACAGACCTATTAACCAGACCCTCCCATCTCCAAGAGCCATTAGGAAGGGCGCAGGAGCGTATCTCCATACTCTCTCCTAGAGACAGCAAAGCAGCTTTACAGCTCGCCTGAGTTTGTTCAACTCCATGTTCACCACATGTGAGAAGACATTGCCATAACCAGAAAACCGGAGTAACAGAGCTGTAGCCCTTTGGTCTCCCGGGTGCTGTAACTGGCAAAGGCAGCCGAACTTCAAATGAGCAGGCTGCCGACCCCGCGGTGCACAGCCTCCTCTGGCTGGGGCTGCTGGGGCATGGCTCTGTGTCCCCGTGTCACCGGCAGCATCAGCTGGCTGCTGCCCGCCCTCCTTCTCTTCCTCTTGCTTCTTCCCTCTTCTGAAGCTTCCCAAGCTCTTCCTCCATCCCTCAGGCACGCTTGAGTTTCAACAGCCTGTTACAGATTGCTCCATTCCTGCACCTTCATCTGCGTTTTTCCATAGTCCAAGCACCCCGTATGGAGATAAGGGCTGGCTGGTCTGCCTTCCCGTACACCACGGGCAGAGAGCTTCACTCTTTTATCCCTCTGTTGAGCCTGATGGCTCATTTTTGGCAAAAACATCTTCCAGAAAAGTAGTGATTGTGGTTGTGAGGGCTTGGAGGGATGGAGAACCCGCCACTTCCCAGGGAGTCTGTTCCAGCGGTTAAACATCCGCACTGTTAACAATCCCACTCCTTATTTTCAGCTTGAATTTGTCTG